TCAATAAATACTATCAGTTGTTCTCACTGTTATTTTGTTCTTTTTATTCAGCAGAGTCAGCTATACCAGTCAAAGAAAAACAACTTGGGGCATTTTTATTTGGGGAATGAGGGAACTTCCCCTAAAACACAGGCTGCCATGGTGTTGTTGGAGGAGAGCACCATGTGAGTAAAATATGGATACTTGACATGAGCAAGAGGCCCTTCCAGCTGGGCTGTCCAGGAAAGTACCAGGAGATAATGATACTTGGCCTGGGTCTTGAAGGATGAGCTTTGGTGTAGAAGGTGAAGGAAAGGGCATTCCAGGTGGAGATGATTACAGGGGCAAAGGAATAGGGAAGTCATACATGTGTTTGGACTGTGAATAGTGAAGAGCCAGGATCTCTGGAGCCAAGCATGAACGAAGTCTCCAGAGGGAGTGTGGTCATGTATACAGCCCCATAGTGAAGGCCACTTGAATCCCTTGGATCTTGGATAGCCCTGACCTTTGGCCAGAGGTATTTAAAAGCAGCCCTTAGATCAAGTGGGCCTGCTTTCAGTCTCCATTCCAGTAACTAGACCACTGTCTTTCATCTGGGCTTGAGTCCTTCACTTGGAAATTCAGCTCTGTCTGGGATGCCTTTTGATGGAGGGTCTACCTTGCTCTTGAAGGTACAACTTCCCTTGTCCCTAAGATAATCCATGACCTCTTATTGCCCTTCTAATGTATATCAGGCAAATATAGGCTTTTACGTACATTCTCCACCTTTAATCCTTGCCATAACCCTATAAGGCTGTCATATTTCTATTTGCAGTCCTGCCCTTGGCCTGCAGGGCTGAACCTTCCAGGTTCTCACATCTTACTCCAGACAATGTCTCCCCACCCCAGGGCCCACCCTCCTTGTTTGGATCCCTGACACCCCCACTGGCTTATCCCTGATAAGGAACAGGGAACCTATGGTTTTCCAACTGAGGGAAGCCTTGGAAAAGCATTAATGTTTTCATTTGTAACAATGGCTGGAGGAACTAGTGAAGTTTGGGGTACAGGGGTTAGGATGCTGAACACCTTGCAACATGTGGGCCAGTCCCTCACGAAGATGGGTGGTCCCACCTCAGCCACCATGGGTATTACTATTGCTGCATTTTACAGCTGAGGGGACTGAAGTTTGAGAATACCATGGCTTCCACAGTGGCACAGGGCTATGAGTGGATGAGCATCCCTCTCCTGATTTCTGACTCTTCCCACTCTCTCCCATAAAGAATGAGATCACTCCTAACATTCCAGACTGACTTGGGAGCACCCTACCTCAAGGCAAAGTGATGAACTGAGTGACCTTTCAAAGCTCCATCAATCACAGTCATTCCGGGAAAGGACAAATCCAGGGACAGATACTCATTGGGTACAATGGATGGAATGGTGGGAAGGGTAAAAGTTGGAGTGATTCATTTTCTTGGAAAAGGCTGAGCCCCACATCCTCTTTTGCTCTGCCCCAGCATGGTGAGCTTTTTCTTGCCCTGTGGGAAACAGGTCCTGACAGGATAGGCATCTCCAGAAAATGCTGGGGACCCAGAGCTAAGGAGAATGCTTTCTAAATCTTTTGTTCTACAATTAAGGAGCAATTATCTTTCTTCCGCTCTTTGACCTCTGCCTTCCAAGCACACCTGACCTTCCCAAATGCATATCAGAATAAAATCCACAAAATGTTCTGAATTTAAGGGCTAGGGGAAGGAGATAAGACATCTACAGGGTAAACTGAGTTTCTCCCCTCCTGCACCCAGGGTTCTTTGTTCTTACTATGAAACTAGATGATGTTTAGCTCAACCTGGTCTTGCAGGTGGAGATTATGATTTCTGCCAGTGGGTTCATTGCAACTGGATGTCACAACAGCACTGCAAAAACTCATTATGATAGAGTTTTCCTGCATTAGTTAGACCAGCATTTTGGGGCACACTATCCACTGATTGACATTTGTTAGTTCTTTCAACCAACATATGTTGAGCAGCTGTTTCATGCCAGGCCACATGCCAGCTGCTGAGGATGCAGAAGTAAAACTGTGCTCCTGATGTCCCTCTCTCTGTACCTGTATGGCCCCTCCCTGGGGTTTACTGATTAGCAGTGCTACCCTCTTGACAGATAAGTGGATTAACAGTGTTTCTCTTCCATGTGCCTACCGGGGCAGCAACAACAGAAAAACCCAGAGGGTGACTGAGAAGACTGGGAAGTACAACAAGAATGGCTTGCTAAAGAGCAACTATGGAGCTAAAAGACCAGGTTTCCTGAGGTAGTTTGACTAGTGACAGCGGTGGTGTGGGAGCTTCCAGCCAGGAAGAACTGGAGCCAGGATGGGGTAAGTTTGCCATGAGCTGAGACTGGGGATCAGGGGACTGGAGGTTGGAGGTGACAGCAGTTAGGAAGAACCATGGGGAGTTACGTGGTATATGGGGGTGGTGGTCTGTGGGTAGTGGGTATAGGGCAGAGAGGGAGCTGAGAGTCACCAAAATGCTGCCTAGTTGAGGAAGGAGCTCTGAGGACCCCAGGCCAGTATCACCTGAGAGATGCCTGTTCTGGAAGGCAAAAGAGACTCATTATAATGGAGGAGGAGGGGTGTGGAAATTTTGAAACTCCTCGGGCACTTTTGAAGAAGTAGGATAGAGCTTTGTCCAACACGAGGGCAGGCCTCTCCCCATGCCTTAGGGAAGACTAGGCTTCAGCCAGCAGAACTGGCAGCTCAAGGTTGGCCCTGGCTCAGAGACCCACCCAACAACCAGGTCCCCAAAACACAGACCCAGTCTTAGACTGGAAATCTAAGAGAGGTGTGAGATACTGTTGGGCTGGGGGGCAGACGATGAGACAGAGAGAAACCTGGACTAGCAGGATCCTTGCCCTCCCCCCACCTCCGGTTTCCTGGGAGATGGGGGCCAGGCCACCATGAGGGGTGTGGTCTTCTCTAGTCCAGGTGTTTCTGCCTGAAACCATGCACTCTGATCATCAAGATGGCCTTCCTGCTGCACCTGCCTTCTAGTCCTGGCTCTGTGCCTGACCAGGAGAATGACTCAGGGCACCCATGTGCTTGGAGGGCCCAGCCATCCCTTCCCAGCTATGGGAGCCAGGATTTGTGAGGAACTCCCTAGTTAACAGCCACAACAGGGGAGCCGGAACAAGAAAGAATGACTTCCCATCTTACCCAGAAACACCTGGCTTCTGGGGCTGGTGACTGCAAGAGCGTTACTGGTTTCCAGTCCTCTGTGTAACAGAAGCATGAGTCTTTCAGACCAGGACAGCCATGCACCTGCTACATCCTGGCTCTGCCATTTGTATTTCTGCATCCAGATCTTGTGTAGCTCAGTGGACTGGTTTGAAAGATAAGAGCACAGAGGTCCAGAGAGTTCATGCCTTGGCCCAAGGTTACATAGCAAGTTAAAGCAGAATCAGGCCTAGAAAAGGGATTCCCTGATTTGCTGGCCCGAGTTTGCTCCACAGCCTGAGCCTGAGCCGCAGAGTCAGGGCTGTCTCCCCTGCTCCTGTGGGCGGAGAGCGTGGCGGGCAGGGAGGGCAGCATCCCAGCCTAATTAGAAGCTGTAGAGGAGCAGGGACATGGGTGGCTGTGTTCGCAGATTAGTGCCCCCTCCATAGATCATAGGCACGCCAAAGACATAATAAATAATCTGCCCAAAGGTTTTAAAGGTAAAAATCAGCAAACCATTAATAACATCCCCAGCACCATACATCACGCTGAAATCTTCCCATTACGCTGCTCCCGGAGCCGATTCACATTTTCTAGGCTGTTTTTTTTCTTCGTTTCCCAGTACATTCTCCTGCAGCTCTGAAAACCCCTCCTCTGCCGCCCTCTGCGCCTGGAGGATGGGAGTGTGAAAACTTTGCGGATTTCCCATTTACCCTGGTTCCTGGTTCTCTTCAGGGGTGGGGAGGGATGAACAAAGGGGAGGTGTCCGCGTTCCTGTCTTGGGACCTTATGTTTCTGCTACCACTTTTCCTTTCAATGGATAGGATGGAACCTACCCTCACCCCCGGCTTTAAGTAGGAATAACTCCTTGGCATCTCTCTCTCTCTCTCTGAGGCAGAGGAGGTTTAATTAATGAATGCAACAGGGTCACTTTAAGTAAGAAAAGTGCTAATGGCTGCACTTTCTAATCCCTGGTGTCCTCAGGCTCTGCAGGAGGCAGCAGGGAGCTGAGGGGGTGTGGGGGGTGGACTGAGTGCATTTTTCATGTTTTATATTTTGAGGTAACCTATGACATCAAGCAAATCAAGACCTGTGCCTGTGATCTGGGGCAGCACAGAGATAGGGTGACAATGGGGTGGAGAGCCAGGATGACACCTGAGTCTCCTCCCGGGCAGGAGTGCAAGGCATAGGCCCAGGCACCAGTATTTGTCCTCAACTGCGAAGCAGAAGTTAGAAAAGGCAGTCATTGGCAGTGGCCACGTGCCACCCACCATGAATTCATTGAAGGGCACGTCTTGAGTAGCCCCTAAAACTGCCACAATTTAATGGTTTCTTGGATGCAAGATCTACACTGAAGAAGTCTGTGCCAGCTAACTGTTGCCTCCTAAGAAGAAGGGGGACAGTCCTGGCAGTGTGGGGAACTGGAGGGGGAGGGGCTCCCATCTCAGCTCTTCTGTCCTGAGCTTGGTGACTTTAGGCCAGCCTTCTCATCCCATCTACAACATTCTGGGCCTATTTCCTCATCTACAACATTCCTAGAGTCCCTTCCCGCTCTGAACTACAGCAGCTGAGTCACCTCCCTGACTTTCTCATCCAGACCCACACGTGCTGGTAAATCTGCAAAATCTCTTGAGTAGTCCCCATGACCCACAAATATGGGCAGCCTTCTGTCTCCACTGCCAGTCACTCCTTAAAGCCCAGTGCCCTCCTGAGGCTGGTGGGATTTGCCAGGACCAGACCTTCTCAGCCTCCTTCTGCTTCAGGGTCATCAAGGGCACACTGGCAGCTTTCAAAGGCTCCGCTGGCAATCCCCACTCTGTCCTGCTATCCTCTGTAGGTACAAGATTCCTCAGCTGCCACACTCTGCTTACCAACTGTGTGATCTGGGGCAAGTTACCAGTGTCTCTGAACCTCAGTTTACCCATCTATCGAAACGGTCTCGGTACCCAGCTGTTTGTGAGAGTAAGCGTTTGTGAGAGTAAGTGTTTGTGAGAAACGTGAACATGCCACAGTAAATATTTAATAAATTACTTGTTACTGGGACAGGCTGGAAATTTTCTGTCTTGAAAGCATAGAAAACTACCTACCACGGGTCAGCCTGGAGAAAGAAAGCACGTTCAAACTGGAGGAGAGTAAATTTGGGAAGGTTTCACAAAAGAGATAACATTTGATCGGCGCTTTGAAGGAAGAGCGGGGTTTTAACAAGTGGACTTGGGAGCTGGGGCGGGGCAGATTCCAGGGAAGGGGTCAGAACAATCAAAACCCCAGGGGTTCGGGAGGTAGGGAGAGCCCAGCTTGACCCAACACTGGTGGGTGGGAGGAGGGGTAGGCACTTGGGCCTGGATGGATACCTGACTCTGAAAGGCCGAGTCCCTCACATTGGGCTCTGCTCCACTGCCAAGGCGTCAATTCTGATGATAGAATACACTTAGCTAACCAGCTGTCCTGAGAGACTCCAGTTTCCCTCAACTCCCTGTCACCATGACAGACCCTTGGCCCCCCTCTCAAGCCTTGATGGATGGCCCCTGTGCTGGATTTCATACATCTCCGTCTTCCCTAGAAGCTGTGACACGAGTAATTGGTGTCACCTCTGTTGATTGCATGCCAAGTGATGACAAAAGAGTCTGTAACAAGGAGATCCAGTGGCTGCTCTTGATTGTGTGGGTGAGGGAATTGCAGGGAACTGACCTGGTGTAACCCCTGAATTCTCTGGGGGTAACCAGAGAGAGGCAGCTGGCCCGGCTGGACTAGTTAGGAGCATGTGCAAAGGTAACCTGGCCCCAACCTGGAGAATGTGCTGGAAACTTTCTAGACGGATGCACCGTGGTGTTGGGATCTAGGACTCACCTCCGAGGCTGCACTTGGTGTCGGACACACAATTCTCCGGTCAGGGCAGTTCAGGCTGTTCAGCATCCTGGCAGTGCAGAGGGGGAGACCCTCGAGAGCTACTGCCCCCCACCCTGGCTCCTGCCAGAAAATCTGCTATCCTTCCTCTATACAGAGGACACACACGAGGTTAAATGAGTTTCACCTATAAATACAGATTGAAGGGCCGACCAGGACAGGAGTTGGGAGAGGAGTGGGCTTAGGTGGGTAAAAGCCGGGTCATCTGCTCATGACCAGAGAGAACTTTCATTAGTTTAGGCCCAAAGTGGCCGTGCCAGGGCCTTGGCCTTTCTGACCTCCAGGGTGGAGAGGGTGGAGTGGCTGCTCAGGTATCTTTCATAAGAGGGTGGCGGCCCCACCCCTGGCATAGGCTTAGCCATTAGAGAGGGCTGCGCCAAACCAGAAGCGCACACAAGGGTCCCCCACCCCGGCTGTTGCCAGAGAAGAACACCTCCTACTGCATGTGATCTGGTCCTTAACCAGAGTTCAACCAAGAGAAACAGGGTTAGTTGACAATTGGCGGGGGGCTGGAGAAACAGCCACTTCTCTTGATACACTAAAATTTGCCCCTTAACATTTTGCCCTAAAATGAAGCAGAAGCTGGGTGCCTGGGTGGCTCAGTTGGTTAAACATCTGCCTTTGGCTCAGCTCATGATCTCACGGCCGGGGTTCCACACTGAGCGGGGGAGGGTCCTTGCTCAGCGGGGAGCCTGCTTCTCCCTCTGCCAGCTTCTCCCTTTGCTTCTCCCCCTGCTTGTGTTCTCTCTCTCTCTGACAATAAATAAATAAAATCTCTCTTTAAAAAATGAAGCAGAGGGGCACCTGGGTGGCTCAGTCTGTTGAGCGACTGCCTTCGGCTCGGGTCATGATCCAAGGGTCCTGGGATCGAGCTCCGCGTCGGGTCATGATCCAAGGGTCCTGGGATCGAGCTCCGCGTCGGACTCCCTGCTCAGCAGGGAGTCTGCTTCTCCCTCTGCCTACTGCTCTGCCTACTTATGCTCTCCATCTGTCAAATAAATAAATAAATAAATAGTCTTAAAAAATATTAAAAAATGAAGCAGAAGCAGCAGATAGGTGGACACATGGGTCATCCCACAGCGGTCTCCTTCTAGGGCCTTTCCTGACTGATCCCTGTCCAGCACTGAGAGAAGCTTTGAGCAGCAAGCTCCCCACAACAGGAGAGGGTGTCCATTGGCTGGCTCTGAGTTATCTCCTCAAGGACTTTGGACAAGAATTAGTCTTTGGTTTTAGTATCGGAAATAACATTCTGGTGTTTTGTTTTGTTTTTTTACTCCTCCCCAAAGGCCACTTGAGAGAGTCATGTTTCTCATGGTGACGGCTGCATTCATGGCTCCCCAGCCGCATGTAGGACTTGGCCTGGGACTTACCCCAGCTCTGGGCTCCATGTTACCTCCTTCCCTCTGTCCCTTGTGTTCATTTTATCCTATTACATTGTTGCATCTTACAGGTTGCTTTAAGTCCTTTTCTGTGTAAGGTGTGATCAAGCAATGAGCACAGCCTCAGTACCTGTGGTCCGGATTTTGTATAGGGAAGAGGCAGCTATTCCTCAAAGCTCATCATTTATCCCCCGAGGCACCTTCTGTGGTCTCCAATGCAGCCTGGGGGGATTTGAGTATATATTCTATACGCATCTGCTCCATACTTACCACGCGCCATGAGCCAGAGATGAAGTGGTGGTGGCACTTGAGACATCTCGAGAGCAGAGGCAGGCACTCAGCCACTAAGACAACTTCATCTGTTTGGCCCACCCCCAGCAAATGTCTATCTGGTCTATCTGAGCAATTGGCTGGCCTGCCTGGAGGACCTGTGTGTGTACCCAGCCACTTTGCAAGGGCTGTGGGGTGTTGAAGAACCCTGCTGCTGTGCATGGGACAGGCAGGAGAGTAGGAGAGGAAGTTACACACCAGAGCTGTGGTCCTCCTGGGAGCCTCTCTCTCCTTGTTCCAGCTGGATGACACTTGCCCTCCTGCCTGGGGACATCTGGAAGGCCCCTTCTTGGGCTACTGATTCCTTAACTGCACCTACCCCACCCACAATGAGGGAGAGAGAGGTGGGTCTTTTGGGGGTTGGAGCAATGCCAAGGCTGCCGCCCGGCCCTCCTTCCCAAGACACTGGGCAACCCCCCTAACAGCCCCGCCACAGAGCAGTCTCCAGCCTGGCCCCTGGGACCTGCAGATCCTTCCTCGATCCCGCCTGGCCTGGGAGAGTCCCCCTGGCTGGCTCATTGTCCCACCCCTGCTACTTTTCCTCTGCCGCATTGTTCCCGTTATCAGCATCCTCCACGCTCAGCGGCTGCACAGGAAAGCGTGACTGCCGCTGGGGCTGCAGCGGAGGCCGGCCGTCGGGGCCCAGGTGTCCTGCTGGCAGGGGCTGCCACACAGGCGGGTCTCCCCGGGGCCGGTTCCAGAGTTCTGACCGCTGCAGCATGCTGGAGTACATGGCACGTGGCCCTGCTCTTTTTGGGTATCTTGGTGTCTTCTGTGGTTGAGGTGGGGATGGGAGATCCTGGGTCCAGCTGTGAGATCAAGAGGTGCATGAAGTCTCTCCACATCTTTCTATCAAGATCAATGCCCCACAACAGTCAGAAGCTCTGTCTCTGTTGCCTTCTCGGCTAAACGCAGACCTGACTATGTTGTTGACAAGATCAGCTAAGGCCCGGGAAATGAGAGTGTAAAGGCACTTTTTTGCCCACAGTTCCTGGGCCCTTTCCGTAGTGAGGGGTTTAGTTTAGAGCTGGCTTAATAGAGCCATTCCTACCCAGAGTTTTGGAGACAGGGCTGGGGAAAAGGAGAAGAAAGCCTACTTTGGATCTGCAGTGGGCTAGAATATTCTAGGCATCTCAGGAGAGCTGGATGGTACCAATTCAGCACGTAAAAAGACTAGACTCCCAACTCAATTTGAATTTCAGATAAACAAAAATGATTTGTAAAACATAAGTATGTCCCATGCAAGATTTGTGACATAATTATACTAAGCAAATTCTTCTTCCTCGTCTTTTTTTTTTTTTTTTTAATCTGAAATTCAAAGTGACTTGGATGTCTTGTATTTTACCTGGTGTTACTTTAAATCTCCTTGTGGGGTCTAGAATGCTAAAGGTCAGTCTTTGGGATGTTTAGGCAGGATTGGGAAGATGGGGGTTGCAAGTCTTTCTAGATCTGTCTCATTCCCTAAAATTGTTCTGGAGCATCTTTTCCAGAGACCTGCAGGGTGCAGGTGGCTCTCCAGGACACAGGAGCCTCCAAGTCTAAGGCCCCCAGAACAGCCCAGGCCAGATATTTGACCCAAGGCTCTCTGCAACCTCCTCAGGTGGGTCCACCTCATCAGAGGTGTGGGTGTCCAAGAGGAAGTCTGCAGAACTGACCTGGTAATGGAGGTGGACCAAGGGAAGACCCCTAGCTATGGAGCCTACTTTATTCTTACCACCAAGGATGTCCCGCCCTCTGCTGGCAAATGCAGATATGACAGGATTTTCTCCTTCAGGATCTGTGGGAGAATTACCAGAGAAGCCACATTTACAGCTTGTCTTCAGTTCTTTTTCTGCTCCAGGAGAATCTGAATTGTGACTTTTCTGTGAAGAAAAATCACCCTCACGAATCTTGGTTATTGGAAAAAAAAACATTTTTTTCACTCTAGCCAAACAATAACTTGGAGAAAAGAAACTATGAAGTGTACTAATTTTGCCTCCCAAAAGGAGTGAATTTGGAAAGTTCTACAGAGAAAAACGTAACACAGTAGTCTGTGGAGTAATGTCTCTTGGTGTCATTAACAGCAGTGGAAACAGGAGGATGGATGACCACACGGAGCTGCCTCATAGCTCCTCTTGACCCAGATGGCCGGGCCAGGATGCCAGTATCCCACTCACTGTGCCACAAACCCAGTTCTGGAGCCATTGGCTTGTATAATTCATGATTTGCTGTTCCCTTCTATTGACATGGATAATTAGATGCTTCCTGTGATAACCCTTCCGTTTTAGCTCAAGACGCTTCCGAGCGACCAGAAATCTCAGGACAAAATTTCCGATGATACTCAACAGCCCAGTAACACAGTTCCTACAGATAACAGCCAATGGAAGGGTCTATTAACTCCAGACAACAAATAGTTTTACTTCATGTATGGAATACAGGAAATAGATCTTTTTCACCATTAAGATATTTATAATCTGAATGGAATGGCATAGTTATTAGGTGTGAGCTAATACAGCTGCAAGGATTGGCTACCTGTAAACAGGGCAACCCCAGGTTTTGTGGGTTTCTCTTCAGGCTTTCTCTTCAAGAAATAGAATAGAAGATTGTGAGTGCATAACGAGGCTGAAAAGTGAGTATTTATTTGGAATAAGTAAATGAATCACAGAAAATTGTTTTTTTAAAAAATAAACTTTAGTTTTTAGAGCAATTTTAGATTCACAGTAAAACAGAGCAAAAGCTATAGAGATTTCCAATGTCTTCCCTGCCCCCACACATGCACAGCCTCCCTCTCCCACTATCAACAACTCCTTTAGAGTGGTACATTGTTAAAATCAACCAACTTGCACAGACACATCATGATTCCCCTGAGTCCGTAGTTTTATACCCAGGTTCACTCTTGGCATTGTACATTGTGTGGATTTGGAGCAATGTATAGTGACATGCATCTACTGTTACAGTTACCATAGTTTCATTGTCCTAAAAATCCTCTGTGTTTCACCTACCCAACCCTTTCTACCCTGGAATCCCTGGAAATCACTGATCTTTTTACTTTCTCAGTAATTTTGTCCAAATAGCATATTTATAAAAGAAAAAAAAAACCTCAAC